AAGAGGAGTTAATAACAAGGAGTGGGGGGAGCGACAGGATTGTGCTTGTTTTATGTAGAGACAGTAAGCACCGAAACGTTAAGACCTTCAGGATACCGCCTATTTCTGCCTTTCTGATACCAGTAGTTTTGCTAAAGCTATATAAAGTTAAATTTGATACTTGGTGATTTAAAATGATTTTTAAAGCAACAAATACATGTGGCATTAAGAGACCTTCACTTTTTCTGCTGCATATACAAATTTACTATCAGTGCTGCTGAGATGTGTGTGCAGACACAGGGGAAAGGTAGCAAGCCTTTCACTCTTTTGGCAAGAAGTCAACAAAAGACAGGGACTTGACATAATTATGAAATACATGTCGACGTTGCCATTTGAGATAAAATCCAACGAGATACATTTCATTTCTAAATCCAAGGTGTCTCTGAATGATGTTACAAAATGTATGGGGAAACATAGCATATATTTGGAGGCAATTAACTTGTATTTGTATATGTATAAGTGTTTGATTTTCCTCAGTCACAGGGAAGCAACACCCACCCTTCAGCCTTTACTTCCTGCTATGGTTCCCTGTAATAGTCTCTCACTGCATCTTTCCAAGTAACAGTGGAGAAAAAAGATGTGGATGCCCTCATTCTGTGCCTGCACACACTATGTGCCATCTAAGGTGGTGGTCAGGGGCGGAACAACAGTGGGAAAACAAAAGAGTACAGTGACCATCACGGTGCTACGTCGTCATGTATGATGATCGGCACAGTGCCTGCAAGTCCTTCACAAACCAGACTGTTGTATCGGGGTGGGGGGGAGTGTCTGTGGAATCCTACTATTTGGAGAAAGATTCTGAATTTCATTAGGCTAAAGCTGCTCAAATTTATTGTTCACGAAGGCCACATCTAGCTTTTACAGCCATGGGAATACACCATCCCATTCCTCAAAGATCAGGGCACTTGCCATCTAATTTTGTATCTTCTTATTGGCACTGCTTTCTTCTGATACTTCAGAGCAAAAATATAAAACCTTCACAATTTACCTCACAAGCTGTGCGGGGCTTTATATAAAGATGGGGACCATTCCTGGTTCCTCAGCAAACAAAGCACAAATTATGATTCTCCATTTCTTTACATATTTACTAGTAAACATATTATTGGGATACAACAATTTAATTACTACTAAACTTAGCAAAGGTTAAGTATTGTTGGCTTTTCCCCACTCATTCTCTCTCAGTCTGTTGCCCTAAGAGAGACAGGTTTTGGATACAATCTAGAAATTTGACTGTATTTCTTGCCTGCTACTCACTGTCCAAGGGAGAAAGCAGGATAGTTCCCTCATGACCTTAGTACCACTTTGCTCTCTTTCCTACAGTTTACTGCAGCAAACAGATATGTCCTTAGCCTAAAATAGATTTTATTTTCTAGTAGAACTACAGGCAGCCACAACTACCCATATGTCCAGTTATTTTTATATTAAGTTACAGTCAGAAATATACATATAATCTTTTCAACTCAGCAATATGAAATTACAGATATCTTTCAGTTGTTTTATTTTCTCCCCACTGTAACATCGAATTGGCTGGTGATATGATACTCACAGTGTAAGTCATTACAGGTCTGACGTTACAGTTGTTACACATTGCTGAATCTGTCAAATGAAAAGGGAGCACAAAGGGAATTTCCAAATGCAGCTGCTATTTCCCATTTGTTAAATCCTTTTATTACACCATATAAGTACACAGCTGGGAAATACTATAGAGTGGGAGTTAAAACAAAATATTTTGGCTTCCAGACATTCAGAATACACAAAGGACTCAGTGGAAAGCAATGCCTGATATCAAAAGGGAGTGAAAGTTTGAAAACACTTCTAGCCAGTGTATTTTTTTTATGATAATACACAATGTAGTTTAAAGGTATCTTGTATTACAGAAAGTGCTGCATACCATAAATGTTGGGAAGAAACTCAATGGGTTTTTTTCAGTCAAGTTGCCCTACTACAGTGTCTTTTTTTTCACCTAAGATCTGCATGGCCCTCTTAGCATGTTACAATGCATACTGTGTGCTCTCACAAATTCCAGCGAACTCCTTAGTAGTATTAAGGGCATGAAGGATGCAGGATACCTTAATTAGGTACCATATAAAAGAGAATTTTTTTTCCTCCATATATGTCGACACAGCATTCTTTGAATGTACTATCTTATAAACAGACAACACACGTTATTGATGCATTTTAATGACAGCACTACTGTCTTTGCTTTCAGTGTAACTGCTATGAGCAGGTGCTTCTTCAAATCTGCTTTAAGAGGATCCATCTGGGAAAGGTCAGAAAGCGCTTATCCTTGTAGGAGTTTGGTTTTAGTAAGTAGAAAAGTGGTCACTACCCCAGCACCTATCTCAAAATTGCCCAACCCACCTTCTGGAATTTGTCTTTCTGGAAAGAAACTCCTATCCTCCCTTAAAGGAGTATGAAATTGCCTTCATCAGGAAAATTGCAGGCACCTCTGAATTCTTTCTTAGCAATATTGATGATTGCTTGGAGATTGAGCGGTGTTTCAGAGAAACTTTATGCAATTAATTGAAGCTTAAAGGTTTGCTCATGAAGGACATAAATGAGGGAGAAAAAAAAAAAAATTAAACAAGTTACCCTAATTGACAGTCCGTTAAGGAAGGGGAAAAAAAAAAAAAAAATCTTTTCACCACTTCACTCTTGTGATCTAGCTAGTCATCTAACTCACCCAAACTGTAAATACACTGGGACTTTGCTCTGTGCGTTTTAGATCACTTAAGTGCTACCAAATAGCATTCTTCAGAACTTCAGTTTTCACTTCTGGCCAAGCCTTGTAAATTATACCCAGTTTTGAGCTGGGGAAAAAAAAAAAAAACTGTTTGGTTTAGCCTTGAGCTACCTAAATAATAATGACACACATCCACCACCAGATTTAACCCAAGGGAATTGTTGAAACTCCTAATGATTTTCAGGACATTCATCTACATAGATGGAATATTTACTGAAAAAAGGAGAGAGGAAAACCAGAATGCTAAGTCACTCAAGCAACGTTTATGCACCTGTTCTGAAACACGATAAGCTGTGTATTGATTCATGCCTGTCCAGAGGTACAGCAAGTGTTGACATGATAGTGCAGTATTACGAAAGAAAACAGAGATTGCACTCTGTTGCTGTACGTGTAAACCCACTTCAGAGCAATACAACTGATCATACTGCAAGAGGATCTATCATTTTGGCTGAAGCGTTACTCCAGGTCCAAGAAACAGCCTGAATCAAAAACAAATGCTTTGAGGGACTCCTAGAGGCTAGGAATCCCTTTCTCTCTGGGACAGGGTCATTTTATTAATGTTACTGGTGTCCTAAGGCCGAAATTCCCAGACTGCACATGCGCCTCTGAATGAAAAAGAAAGTAGCTAATGAATTCACAGATTTATTTTTTCCATCAACAAACTTGGTCAATTCTTTCTAGTCTGCATCCGGCTTCTTCTCCTGATAACATAGAAGTTAAAATTATTCTTATGCGCTTAACACATGACTTGGGCAAAAGAGTGACTCTCCATCCAAAATGAGGTTCCATCTGAGAATTCTGCATAGAAGCCATATATACAACTCACAACCTACTTTGCCAAATTACTAACCTATAATCATTTTTCTTTTTAGTCATTTTTGCAGTTGAAATTTTGCCTTCTTCATGACAGCCACACAAATACACAGGAATATTTTAGGCCTGACAGAAAGTTCTGCACTGGGTTCAACTGTGCATTACATATTAGGTAGCACTTTTCTGGTTTGGTTTGATCCTTTTAGTCAATTAGATTTTAGAAAGAAAAAAAAAACCCCACTATATTAACAAAATACGTATTATTGTAGTGATAGTATTTAATTAATTCCAGGTATCACAATATGCATGAAGAATTTCAGTATCTTTGTTGATTAATGCATTAGAATTACTATTTCTAGTCAAAATTGAAATAAGCTCATTATTGTTAGTGCTGTCAAAAAATTCTACAATTGCTTTTTAACCTTATTGAAAGCTGTTGATTCATACTGAAAAAAAATACTTGCTGAAAAAAAATCCCCTCAGACATTTAATAAAAATACAGAAGAAATTTTATGAAAACGCAAGGTATTCTTTCTAAATTAGCTGTGTGAATTTGATGTCTGTGAAAGTCACTTTCTGGAGAGTCTGGAATTACGGTGATCTAAATTTACAGAACACCTGGCTGCTCCATATACCTTAATTCTGTTCCTCAGAAACACATGCAAGGAAAATGAATTGACGGAGATGCTGTACCCATTTAGTCTGCTCATTTATTGCAGAGTTTTGGGGACAGAGAGACAGAATTACAACTGCAAAATAATCTTATCTAGGTTACTGAAGAGAATACAGATAATAATTCTGATCATTGCTAACATCACCTATATATAAACTGGTGATCTAGAGCAGAAGAGTATGACATAGTTACTCATAAACACCTTTCCCCTCCACACGACACAAGGTTGTAATTTCCTATAAATACAGCAGGATGTTTGTCACCTAAAATGCCAGCCGCTTTGTTGTTATGTAAAGCTATACTACTCTAGATTTCTGAGAGACAAGTAAAAAAATACATTAAAATTTCTTCCTTCAGCACAACACTTTGCAGATGACAAACAGTTGTGAGCTACATCCTCCCGTCAGAAATTAATGCTTGAATATATGAGCTAGAGAGGTTATGACATAAATCAGGTTATGAATGAAAACATGATAAATAGATGCATTTCCTTTCCGAAGGTGAACTCATCAAATGACCTCATTCATATAGACCTGTATACTTAAGAAGATTATACAATTGTAATTTACAATTACACCATATTGATGTTGATCTATTACTAACACTGACACTTTAACATTTAAAGAGCTTTATACCTATGAAGGATTGTACTAAACACGTCATTCAAAATGGAAGTGAACAGTTTTTTACAATCCTAATTTAGAAAGACACTGTGAGAACAGTGAAACTCACCATTCTGTGTTGGGCTGAGATGACTCCATCCCACTCAGGATCTTGTTGGATGGTTGTGACCAGAGTTGGTAGCTCCTCAGAGTGAGGTTTGTTGTGCATTACGTTATGTAGAGGCAGATGAGAGGTCACATGTTGATCACTGTTGCCCTCTTCCTTGTCTCGTGATGCTAGATCCTGGGTCATTGTTTCCTCTCCATCAGCTGCACATGCAAATGGAGAGGTAGCCTGCTTGGAAGACATTCTTCTACAAAACAAGAAAAGCAGACAAAAATAAAACATTGGTGTTAAATGAAAATAAAATCAAGCTCAAAACAGTCCTCTAAACACACCACACTTGCCTACAACAGTTAAAAATAAATCATATGTAGTTGACAAAAGTACTCTAAAAAGTATGGGTTTGGGGGATCTGGATCCAAAACACTGAGATAAAGTATTTGTTGATGCCAAGCCAAGGTCAGGGTTAAGTTATATGATGTCATTCTATTCATTTAGACTTGTCAAACAATATAATTTTCTCCAGCCATAAGAAAATAGTGATTTTATTGGTATTTTCATGTTGATTTTGCATAAGAGTTCAAGTCTTTACATTCTTACTCCCATGAGCAATCTGAAGGTTATAAGCAAACGTTTAAATGAGAGAGTCCATCGTGCTTTCTGAATGTCATTCCTTGCAAGCAGAAGATGTTTTCTACACAGATGAGAATTTTTAATCCATTTCAAATTCTGCTAAATAAGTCCTTTTGCTGTTTGTTTAAAGCTGTATCTGCTCTTAACCTGTTTAAAATTTTACCCAGTTTTACCTTTCGGAAAATGTTTTGAGAAGTTCATGTGAAAAGTGTTCTAAAACTGAAAGTTTTATCAAATGGGTAGATAATATCTGAGTAATCTTTTACAGTTTGAACTAAAAATCTAAAATAATTATGTTTCATTTCATATTAGGCATCGAGTGCAGGATACAGCTCAACAAATTACTTTAAATGACTTAAAAGTGTAATGAATAAATGCATTGATTTATGTTAAATGTCTTTTCCTAATAATGGCCTCTTACTACCATCTCATATGCAAACACAGCTTTCACCACAGTTTCTGCACTTAAATGAAAATATAACTGACTTCAACTCAAAATCTGAAAACACTTTTTTTTAAATTTCTAATAAGATTAACTACAACTGTTAAAACAATCATTAATAAACCTGAAAGAAGTCAGCTAAAATATATTAGCTATTTTCCCAGGTTTTAGTAACTTTAGAATATCCTTGACACTGAAATTGCTGAGAAACTAAGGAATAAGATCTTCACCTTAATTGCTTTTTAACAATAATTGATTTCATACCATTTCTTTAAAAATGCACAAATCAGTTAACATAGGAAACCACATGAGCATTTTTCAAATTAGCAAATCATTAACTTGCTAGTACTGTTTCTACAGACAAATAAATACTGATTAAAGGGTCTGGAAATCTGAGACTAACAGTTAAATTTACAAATCTGTCACATGCTTTCATGAATATTACAGTGAAGGAAATATCAAGTGCAAAGAAAAATAATTAAGTTAATTCCAATTTAAACAGTAGTTTTTATGTAGCAGCCCGTGTTTCACATAGGATTTAACAGCTAATGCTAAATTTCTCACAATTAATGAGGGAATTCAGATTTAGTATCCTACAGTGAAAAAAAATTAATATAGGATCAGCTAATCTAATTATGTACAGTTCTATATGAAAGTATTACAAGCTTTGAAGTGCTTTGAAACATATTAAAACACTGATACCTATTTAGAATAACTATTCTGTAAATAGAGATAATCCTACCTCTTAAACTCGATACTGGTGGGGAAAAAAAGATTTGCATTTTCTTTAGGGAAGCCTAAAAGTAAGTGGGAGTCTATTATTAATGTTGCCAATAAGCAGAACTGAGGAATTTAAACCGTGTATTACATTCTTACTACGCTAAAGAATTTGTGTTGATGCTACAGAGAACATGCCAAGAGTTCAGCAACCGGCATTATTGTACATACTTCAAAAGGTTCTGCTTCATAATTACTGTGATCCAAGATAAAATAAAAGGTTTACTTTCCCTTTTCTCATTAAGAGAGTCACGTTAATGTAATCACTCACATGAAAATATAAGTCAACGCTCTATGAAATTTGAAAACCAGGCATGAAAACTGAAAGTCACAATAAAGGATTTGCCTTTCTTTTACCTTCTCAGCAGATCTCGTTCCTGTTTCAAACTGAACGAGCTTCTGTGAAAAGCAATAGCTATGGCTGTTTCTTCACTATAAATTAATCATGACACAAAACTAGAAATGAAAATGTCTCTTAAGAATAATTTCAACTACAAACTGCACCAATGAATAATAGTGCACAATCCTAATTAAACACAACTCTGCAGCTGCAAAAATAGGCTGAATCTGTCCAAAGCTACGAATTGGCTTTAAAGGCTGGTTTGTTAGGGATTGTTTTCTTAAGGAAGGCTGGGCCCTCAGTCTTAATCAGCCAATAAATTATTTCCTGCAATTACATTAAATAGAAAATTATCTTCAAATTGGGAATGTTAATTGAAAATCAAAATTCAGACTGAAGTTTAGAAATTACATGCTGAATATAATTAGTCTAGTAAGGCTTCACCTCTATTTCATAAACAGGCTTTTGGTATTTCCTCAAGTGACCATTCAGTAAAGCTATCTACTGGTAATGCACTATAGAGGAAATACTTCTTTTTTTTTTGCCATATACACTAATATACTTTCGTCTTATTCAGGATGTTTTAAACACAATTAAATAAAAATCTCTATTTATGTTCTGTTGCTTAAGTTGATCACACAGAGAAAAGGGGACTCTGTTAACCTTAAAAATAAAATCATATTGACAAAGTTGCATTCATTAATAATCTCAAGCCATGCCCAGCAACTTTTTTCTGTACTAGACTAAGAGAACAGACCAAGAGCGGGGTTCAAATCCTTCCTAGCTCCACCTACCCCTTTTATCCACTGCTGCATTATGATCAGACACGCTTTCATACTGCACTTTACTCAGTTGCCTATAGTCCTGGAGCCTGAAAAGAAAGACAAGCTCAGGCAGGCCTCCCAGGCACTTGCTCTCCTCATGACATAATTTTTAGGGGTGTGTTTCACTTCTATTTTCCCCAAAACCTTTGTTGAAATAGCAAGATTTAGCACATTAATTATGGTCAGAGATCAGCACTTAATGGTACCTTTTAGGTTTTTGGTTGCTAGATTTTAAACACTGGGGTAAAAGGCACAGAGATATAGGACCCTGCTAGATTGAGTCCTCCACCTTCTTTTCCCAGCACAATCAATATACCTCATGTATACATCTTCTGAGGGTGCCAGGTTATGCACCAAATATTGATTATGATATTGATATATTGTTAATTATCGATTATAATCAGTAAAACAGAGTAAATATAAACTCTGTGACTGGGTGTTATCCAGTCAATTACTTCATGCAGGTTTTCACTCGTTACCTCTTTGTTTTTGCATAAATGTGAGAATTCTGTACAAGGGACTCCATCAGATTTCAGCCAATAACTCCAAGGTCTCGTTCAGATTCAGAGAGAGAAGAATCTGGCCCATTTGAGTAGTTTGTGTTTATGATAAAATTAAACCACAGAACAGGCTGTTGCATTAAAATGTTTTAACATTAAAATATGAGTATAAATAGCAGTCAAATTTTAAGTCATGATAACTTCCCAATTTTACATTTAAAATATTCAAAATACATTTGCTAAAATCTCTGGTGTGAGAAAAAAAAAATCAATATTCATAATAAATGAGGCTTGGAAAAGGTATGAGAAACTTACTAATTTCATAATAATTTATTTTATTTTTCTCCTATTATCAATTAAATTCACTCAAATGGTTTTTAAAAAAGTTTCTGATAAAAAATATCTCCCTAGTTATAACCCCTGCAAACAGGGGTTTATAATGGAAGTGCTGACACAACCCTAACTACAGCAGCGCAAATGGTGCCGCTATAATACACAAAATCAAGTTCTATTATTCTAAACTATCCTCGCTCGTGGGGTTTTCTTTACTGTGCTCCCAGACAAACTGCTGAAGCATGAAAAATTTAAATGCAATCAAGTGGGTCCAATTCTACTTTACTAGAACAAGTGTCTACAGTGGTACAATCTTAAAAGAAGATGCAACAGATTTGTTTGGTGCTTTTCTTTCTTTTTTCTTTTTTAGCTGTTTATTTATAATACTGTGCAGTGGAGATAAAATAAGAGAGGAAATTACACTCACATTATATCAGTATATTGATTACACAGCACACAATCAGAAAGAAAACTACATTGTGAAATTGTTGCTTTGGTTAAATTGACAGATTAGCTGAACACAGCAATCACTAAAGGTAGAAAATATACCTAATGGGTATGAAAAAAAAAGTTGAAAAGGGTCCTAATTACCTCAAGTCCTATCACCTACTCAACTTTGAGAATTAAATAAATCTTGATTTGTATTTTCCAAACTAGAATAAATTCTATCTCATTTTGAACTCACAACAGAAGAATAATGGGATCATTTATCAAAACCTCAGTAAAGCTGAAGAACTGAACCCCAGTTTCAGTTGGCCTTGATACAGAGGTAGTAAAGCTAAAATTGAACTGCTAAGGGTTTTTTACCTGCCTAAAACTAAACACAATCCCAAGGAGCTCCATTCTCTATATATCTGACAAGACTTTTTTTATTTTAATCCAGGGAAGAAATTCTCTCTGCTCTAATGAAGACTGCCAGTCAGATTCTCAAAACATCACTTTTCCTTCTTTCCTACAGATAGCATATGTTCTATCTTTCTAAATACAAATAATAATACTTTTTTTGTGTCTAGGGCTTTTCAATGGTCTCAAATTCTTCAGGCAATGTATATCTTCTTTTTTGAAACAGTTAGATGATATTCCTGACATGAAAGGTTTCCAAAGCCTAAAATCTTCCAACCCTGCTGATTGCACAAACGATTAAATGTTACAGTGGAAATTACGGCTAAATCTGGAATTTTATCTACTAGACATTTAGAATCAAGCCACAAAGCATTAACACACACAACACTGTGATAGTCCAGACACTATTTCAAAAACATATAAACTAAGCAATAACGAGATATATGACAACGCAGACTTGTAGTTGGACGGAGACTCTAGCTTCTGCTCTGCTCCACCCTCACAAAGCATTCATAAACCTAAAGGCATGTCTACACTGCAGCCGCATAAATGACTGCTTTGTAATGCTGAGTTA